TTTGCGAGAAATGATCCAAAATGCGTGGGAGTTGCGAAATTTTTTTGCCTTCAGGTTTCTAGAACGACGGGCAAATTTACGTTTGATGGGCAAGAATGAGTATACTCTTACAATTCTTACTTTTAAGGAAAGCACTGTTCTGAGCTGAGATACGTGTGTTTAAAGTTGACAAAAAGAAATTCGAACGAACTTTCTGCCAACTAGTTAGACGATTTTTTTACTATTTACCTTGTCGCATACGGTCCACGTATGGCATCGAATATGCTGGCCTCGTTTGCTAAATGCTCTATGAGTTTTCCGACAGGCAGCTCTTCAATGGCGTCTGCATCAAACCCAGCCCTGAATTGAGTAAACACAGCTGAAGCGCGTTCAAATTACTTATATCCTGGATTGGTTACTTGATTGGACATGTAGGTTCGAAAGCTGGATCGTGATAGGTAGAGAGGTATGGTAACGCCAACACTTCCTCAGCTGTGGATCGATTCCACGGAGAGATTTGAAGCATCTGGAGTTAAAATGGAAGAATAAGTAGATATTCAATTAGTAAATAATGAACTTACTCTGTCAATGACTTCCAAAGCTTCTGGAGTCGCTTTTGGGAGTATAGCTTGCCATGGGAGCGGTTCCTTCTTCCCGCAACTTTCAATCCATCCAAGTACGATGTCGGAGGTAATTTGTTGCATAACCTAAAATCCCCCTTGGTTGTCATTGTAGTGTAAAGGTGATAATTTGGTAAAATTCTGGAACCTACTCGTTCTTCAGGAGTACCCAAATAGTAGACGATCATTTTAACTTGTGAAACCCCATCTTTCCCGGGAAATATTTGCCTTCGCATAATCATCTCGGCAAAAATACATCCAGCTGACCACATATCTACCCTGAAAATCGATATATTGATTTTCGTACATTTTGGAATTTACCCGATTACGCTATCCTACTTAGTATCGTAGTCGATCATCGAGAAGAGCAGTTCGGGCGCACGGTACCAACGAGTAGCCACATACTGCTGGAATATTTTATGTTTCACAAGTCGAGAAAAATCAATAATTGATTGATAATAGGCTACCGTAAGGAATTTGTCATTTTTCTGATGCAGCTGCTCTGTAGATCTGGCCATACCAAAATCGGCAATCCGTAGGAGGCAATCGCCATTGACTAGAAGATTTGATGGCTTCAAATCTCGGTGCACTATACCGACGGAGTGGAGATACTATAAATGGAGATTTGCTTTATCTTAGAATGCACAAATTTTTCGATA